GGCTGAATCGCCCTGAAAAGTACAGTATCGTATTCCGCAGAACCCGCCAATCCCGGCAAACAGAGGGCGTGGCCACACCTGGGAAGGCGGGGCCGGACGGCGGTAGGGCTGCGGCGTCCTGGGGCGGAGGCGCTGACGTGAGTCTGGCGCACCTGGGCTGGGCAGGTAAGGGCTGGTGCCGGACTGGGAGGGGATCTCGCAGTTCCTGCCTGCGCAGAGCGGGCGCCCCTTGCCCAAGCCGTCGAGGAACACGGTGGCGACGAGTGATCCTACGTGGGACTTGATTTGGAGGGACGTCGGCTTCTGGTTTGAGCGTGATTGAGGAAAGGTGAGGACGCCAACTTTTAGAAACTAACTGAAAGGAGGAGAGAAACCGGCCACAGGTGGGGAAGGGTCCACTCCAGCGTTTGTGGGTGGGAAAGCTTGCTTGGGGACTTCTGTTTGTTGGGAACACTGCTGGGGCTGGGTTTTCTCGCTTCGGTCCAGGTATCTTTGGCCCCTTCTGGCCTCATGCTTGTGTCCACTCTCTTTCCTTCCCTGCTGGCACTAAATGTGCTGCTCAAGACCCTCAGTCCCCATCCCCTCCCCACTGTTGGGTAGAACTAAAGGCCCTCCTCCTCCCCTACTTTTCGTCTCACCACCTTGCTTGCCTGCTGGCCCCTGTGGGCCTTCCCAGTCCCTTGGCCCTGGTGGGTGTTTTGGGAATGGCCAGAGCATTGGCCAGTTTGTTTTCTTTCTCTGAGTTAACACAGTCAGTCCCCTTGCCCTGGGCTTGGGAAACACCCTTGGATTTCTGTGTAGCCAAGCTAGTGGAGGGTGATGCTGGGCGTGGTTCTTCTGGGGGTGAGGCTGTCTTTGCCTGAAGGGTCTGGAGGGTGAGTGTGGAGAAAGTCGCCAAGTCTGGCTGAAAGGAGGCCTGGGGTGTCGCTCTTTACAGCAAGCCTGCTTTGTGGTAAAGGGGTCACCCCTGTCCCAACCCTGCACTCTTGGAGAAGGTGCTTGAGTCAGGCTTGGTGTAGGCTGGTGCTGACCCAGAGGATGTATGTATTATGCATGAGAGCAGCACCTAAGACCCTGTGACTCTTATACCCCACCTTCAATTCCCAGGGATGAAGAGCATGGGGGATTTGGAGGGGTGATATTTCAGTTCCCTTCAAGAGGAAGAGAAAAACAGGACTACTGCTGAGGACTGCAAGAAACAGCAGGTGTGCCTTAGTCGACAAACCCATGAACCACGGAGACTGCTCTGGGGCAGTGCTAGCCTGGAAACGAGTCTGGGCAGGGGTTGGAGGTGAGGGTGTTTGTGGAGAACCTGTTCTCTGGAATGGGGGTGTGGGGAAGCTGAAAATGTCCCTGTCCTATGCTCGGTATTAGGGGAGCAGTTGAAATGGCATTTTTGTCCCTTGGCTGGTTAAATATTTGTTGGAGACACAACCCTTGGATTTTGCTATGATGGTAGCCAGAGATACCAGGCTAAGGTTATTCTCTGGGCATTGGGAATTTGGGTGGTGAGGGTTTTATTTTCAAAGTAAATCCTGATGTAGTTGTGTTTGAGGATGGTGTTAGGCAGTCTCCTTCCCAATCTCTTCCATGCTGTTGGGATCTTTGTTGATATTTTGGTCCTCTTAGTGTGAAGAACAAGGAGGGACTTGGAGAGCAGCGTATAGAATTCAGTACAGAACACCTTGGTAGACTTAATATTTTCTGTGTCTCAGTTAACCCAGCTGTAAAATGGGTATAAATAACAATATTGTGAGGATGAAATTCAACACTTCAAGCATAAAATATTGTTTACCATGGTCTCTTCAGCTCAAGGTCATCATCTTGTATATTCATATCAGTGGCCAAGTTAATACTTATATTAACTTCCTGTGGCTTAAAAAGGAAACTACTTTTAGAGTACCAAAAAAAAAAAAAAAAAAAGTTGACATGCTCATTATGTTGTTGTTAAGTGCTGTTGAGCTGTTCGACTCATAGCGTCCTTGTATAGGGTTTTCAAGGAGCAGGTGGTGAGCTTGAACTGCCGACCTTGTTTTTCAAACCAACCTTGTGGTCCAGTGCATTTTCTTACAGGACAATGTAAGTCATATCTAAAGCAGATAAGAGAATTAAAAAAACAAAACAAAAAAAACCCCACTTAAAATCATATTACCAGCTAGCCATTATGACGATCTTGTTGAGTTGGTGTATTTCTTTTCCTTTTTAAAAATTCCATATGTTGAGTTGCAAAATGGAGATACTACTATACAGTCAGCGTTATATGAAGGATTTCCCTCCTTAGCCGCTTATTGTAAACATTTCTCCAAATCCAATAAAAATTCTTCAGAAACACCTTTATTAATGGCTACCTAATATTGCAGCTTGTGGATGGATGCACCATAATTAACCATTCTTCTCTTGGCCATTTTGGTTGCTTCCAATTTTTCCTTTGTCTATTTTTAGAGTCTAAGTTACTGGTGACAGATGGGGGAGGTCTTGGCCGACTTTCAAAAGGTGGAGAAGGTTGGCTGAGGGAGGTAAGGCATGGAGGAACAGACTAGGGCTCCTTCCCATGGGGCTTGGAGGCGGGGTTGGTCAGGTGTAGTGCCATCTTGGGAGAACACTGAGAACCAGGGCTCTAGATCTTAATCACTGATCTCTATGGGTGGCTGCCTCTCCCTTCCTTTCACTATGTGCAGCTCCTTGTGTTGGCCTGAAGTTGCCAACTTTTTTTTTTGATGGGCTATGAATCAAATAGGGTAAGCCCTTTTCTTCAAAGTCCATGAGTAGTCAAGAGGTGGATTCCATATGCCTGATAGGCTCAGAAACGGGACTTGTCAATAGTGCAACTGAGTCATTTTCAAACGCCCCTCCCCAGGCTCACCATTACACTGCTCATTCCTCTAGTCTCCATCCTTCTTCTAGTACCTTCAACTGCTCCAAGACTGGGGTGGAGAAGGTAGAACTTGCTCTAAAGAGACTATGCATTCCCTTCTGTGTAATAAGCATTTCCTCTTCTGTAAAGGCCTTCCCTGGTATGATGGTTTGACTTGCCTCCTTAAAAAAACCTAAACCAAAGCCAAGGACATGGGGGAGGGGAAGACCTGAACACTACCTGACCATCTTTCCTGCCCACAGTCAGTTATGCCCCCAGTAGGAAGGTTTCAGTTGCAGTTGCAGGGCCTGGTAATTGGGTCAAAAAGCTCAGGTGAGAGCAAGCCCTGCCTTGCTCTTAAAGTGCCAGAGGCTGAGTTGGGTTTGGGTTTTTCCCACTAGGAGTCTGGCTCAGGTAAGGGGAGAGGTGCTGGTAGGGTCCACCCCCTCAGCTAAGCTTTTCCAAGTGGGCGCCTTCAAGCTTACTCAGCTGGTTTGGTTTCTGAACCGTGATCCAGGAGGGGATCTTTGTGGGCGGGAAGGTGACTTATCTTCCCCAGGCCTTGTGAGATTTCAGTAGTAGTTCTAGCGTGGATGTCATTAGGAAGGTGCCCCAGATGAAAACATTGAGCTTTAGTGTTTAGTATTAACACAGTTGGCACATAGTGGCCAATGAGCAAATATTTGTTGTGTAAGTAAATGCTATTTTTCCAAGTACTGCTTTCTCACTTTAAATAAAAACAAAACAAAAACACCAAAAAGTCTGATACAATGGCCCAAGCATTTCTGTTGTTATGGGTCATCATTGTATTCCGACTCATAGTGACCCCACAGAGCAGAGTAGTACTACCTCTTAGGGTTTCCTAACAGGTAAATCTCTAGAGAAGCTGATCACCATATGTTTCCAGCAGGTTTTTCCCCCAAGGAGCAATTGGTAGATTTGAATTGCCAACCTATTGGTTAGCAGCTGAGCTCCTTAACCATTGTGCCACCAGGACTCCTTTGAACAATTTTCTAGTTGCTGGTTTTCCCTTCAGGCACCAGTACGGTTTTTGTGTTTCCTGCTGTAAATGCCTCAGCCATATGTTATCTGTTCTGCCCGCATATTTTTATGAGACTTAGTTTCAGACTTTACCCAGGCTGCCTACTGCAACCAATCCGTTCACTCCAGCCTCTGTGAGGAAATAAACAGACCCAGGTGAGGAAGCTCTCTTTCCTGAGCAGGGTTTGTCTTATGACTTTTTAGTACTCTACGGTCAGAAACTGATACTTGATTACCTTAGGGCTTCTGAGCTTTACTAGATTCAGTTGCAGGGAAGTGGTCTTAGAACCTGTGTCTCCAAAGTTCCTGCACCTTCTACTAGATGCTGAATTGCCCTGTGAATAACCAGCTGAGACCCCATTTTCTTTTCTTTTTTTTAGGTACGGAATCTTTTGGGTGGCCAGGAGCAAGGGAGCGGACCTGAGACCTTGCCCTTCAACTCCATTTGAATACACTGCCTTCTTGTCCATTTAAGTGAGTACTTTGGCACCTAGTGTCCGCTTCTCACTGACTTGTCTCTTAGGGGATGAGTGCCGTATCTTACTAGAATAGTCCCTTATTTTAGTTTTCTTGTTTTCAAAGAGAAGGCATTCAACTTCTTGTCCATATAAGAGAGAAGTTCAAATAGTTTGTGGAAGAATTCCATTATCTTTTCATTCCGTTTTTTCTATGAACTTTTTGAAGACCCTTCCTATCTGCCATTCCCAGAATGTTTTTTCTTCCCTCTGCTGTGATGAACTTGAAAAGAGCCATTTCTGTTCTCTTGCAAAGCCCTCAGTACTTCAGGAAGGACTGTGTTCCAACAGAGATGACATCACCTTTTTCTTTTTCTGCTTCAGGATTTAAATAGAAGAAATGTGATCTACTTGCATGATAAGTCTGATTTGGCTGGAGCATGAAGTATAAATGGCTTTGGAATAAGAATCAAAAGAACCTTTTTAGCCTCTTTTTTTTCCTTTCCCACCTGGCACAGTTTATTCCCATATTTAGTTTCTTTGCCGTAATCTAATGAAACTGTAGCTCTATCATACGGGAACAGTGGCTGGGAAAAGTTCCCAGTCCCTGGCCTAATTCTCCTGTTCTTCCATCTTTCCCCACCCTCTAGATCATGGCCCTCCACCCCCGTAGAGTCCGGCTGAAGCCCTGGCTGGTTGCCCAAGTGGACAGTGGCCTATACCCTGGGCTCATCTGGCTACACAGGGACACCAAACGCTTTCAGATTCCTTGGAAACATGCCACTCGGCATAGTCCCCAACAAGAGGAAGAAAATACCATTTTCAAGGTAAAGAACTTTTATCATCTGACTTGAGCTTTTTATCTCGTTCTCTCAGGCATTTCTGTTTTTGTTTTTTCACTTTCTATTTTGGCACAAGGAATACACTTGAATACCCCAAACTCTTATAAAACAGAATGTTTATGATGGGATGCCCAACCTTAGCAGCATAATAATTCTTCTTGTTGGGACATGTCTATAGTGTTTGAAATGCTTTATTTTCTCTCCCACTGGCTGAAGGTATTCAGTTCATGTCCCAAAGGATCTGAGAGGTGGGGTTGGCTAAACTCCAGTCAGTGGTTATTCCAAAAGCTATCAAAGGTCAGGGATCAAGGATTCCCCACTTCTGTGTCTCAGGGGTTTTGCTTTAAGGAGAGATGCCTGGTCCTGGGAACAGTTACTGTGACCAGCGTTCAACTATCCACTGTTAGCAGGCTCCTTACATAGCTTGTAGGATGGGTAAAGAGAGCTTTCAGGAAGTTTTTCTTTTCATGTTAAAACATCCCGCCCAGACCTCTAACCACTGCTAGAAATTAAAGGTGATTTAGCCACAGGTTTTCAATATACAAATGCTTTCTTCAAGAGAAAGTGGCTTTGATATAATAGTTCTTTTATTGTACTGAAGACAAAATTTAATCCCATGATACTTTACCCAAGATTTAAGACAGAAGTAAGTGGGAAGGTGGTTAGTGGGAAGGGGTTTCATGTGGTCTGCCAACTCTGGAGGTTGTAGCTCTGCTCCAGACCAACTTCTCTCTGCTGCTTGTCTTCCAGCACGAGTAGCTTTCCATCTTGTACCTCCAAGACATGGAGACATGAGTTGTTCTTTTTTTTTTTTTTCTTCCATAACTTACAAGCTGAACATCAGAAGTGAAATTCATTCTCCACCTTAGGCCTCTCAAGATTGACATCCCAGGTTCTTGCTGAGGGTGGGTCAGAAAGGGTAGGCTCAGGACTCCAAGGAGAGCTACCTAGAGATGCTTTCACCCAACTCATTTGTATCATGAGTAGAAAAGAGAAAACTGGTCTCAGGGTTTTTTGTTTGTTTGAAGTGCCATGGAGTCAGTTCTGACTCATAGTGACCCTGTGTAGGGTTTCTGAGGAGCTGCTGGTGGGTTTGAACCATTGACATTGCAGTTCAAACTGACTGCAGTTCCCCAATTAACCTGCAGCTCCACACCAGGACTCCAGGTCTCAAAGTACTTAGGAAGAAAGAAAATGAGCTCTCTTGATTGAATTTGGATATTCAATAATGATCTAAGAATGATAAGGAAAATATTTGTAAACCATATTCAGTTATTAGAATGGACACTGAGACAATGATGGGCCTGCTAGTAACCCTTCCCCTAGCCCATCTGGCCTCCCATTATGGCCTTGATCTGAAGCTGGGTTTGCTGTTGAAGTGTCTGGCTATGACAGGCCATTGGGGAGGAAGCTTGTTTCTAAAAGCCCCACTCACAAGACCATCTGTGTGCTTAATGCTTGAGGAATGGCTGGCTGTGGGGAGGCTGCTTTATAGCTGTCTATCTATAGGCATGGTGGTGACTGGGAAGGCCTAAAAGAGTGGGCACTCACAATAAGTGGGTCCCTGCTGTATACCGTATATCTACTCTATTACGTAATTCTCATGGTCAACTTGTAAGGGAGTTACTACCCTCATGTTGTAGATGCAAAAGCTGAGTCTCTAAGGGTCTGTGTAACTTGCCAAAATTGCACAGTAATTGGTGGAGCCAAGATTTGAACCTAGGTTTATCTGTCTACATTATCATGCTGCTCTTTCTGACCAGGAATTTAGAAGACTTGGTATCAACTCCTACTACCATCAGCTGCATGCATGACCTTGAGCAAATCATATAACCTCTCTGGGCATTATCTTTCTCATCAGTCAAATAGGCATGAAGTCAGTCTTGCTCCATCATAGGATTATTGTGAGAATCAAGTGAAATACTGTTTGGGAAGGGCTTTATAAGGTATTACTAAAATGCAAGCATTCTTTCCATTTTATGAAGAGCAACAGAGGTCTGCACAGTGAGTAGGCTCTCTCAGAAGCAAGTGTCAAAAGGTGTTTGAACAGAGTCATGTTTGTTACTCACAATGATTAGTCATGTGGTACATAGTAGGACCTTTCTTGACTGTATCGTTCAACCATCAAGGGCATTACCTTCTACTGCACCAACCATCTGAGGGGGTCTGGGAATGGCTCTGGGAATGGTGAGCAGGAAGCCTGGGACTGCGGTTCTGAGTTAGTCTGGCTACTCTCCCATGAGGGGCAGGGCATTCTGGAGCCACAGAAATTTGTAGACCTGTGCCAAAGTCTGCACAGCCAGAGTTGGCTGGGTGGGTACAGACAACCAAACAAAAGGAAGGGGGAAATGCAGGGAGGCAGCAGCCAGGAACCAGGTAACTGGAGATGTGCCTCCCGGAGCCTAGGGAGTAGGAAAGTTGAAATCCCCTGAGTGAGGGTCAGAAGGAATAGAATAGCAGTCAGGCCCCCTAGAGACTGCTAAACCTCCTGGGGCAGCCCAACTTTGTCAAATCTCTTCATTCCATTCCATAAAATAAATGGAAGAGTCCAAGTGTGAGAAGATGGTAAAAGGAAACGGAGGAGAGATTTAGATTAGCCATGGAAAGAGATTTCCTCATGATTGTGAAGTGGCTGAGGGGAATTCAGAGGTCTTAACAATAGGGCAGAAAGTGTTCTCAATTTAAGTTTAGAAGGAGTCTATGCTCAGGAGCAGGGGCAGGGAATTGCCTCGCCAGCTGGAGAAAGTTGACAGGTACGCGTTCTGTGTTGTTCTTTGCTAATGAAAAAAGCTCTTGTTAGATGCTGTTGAGTTGAATTTTGATTCAGAGACCCCAAGTACCAAGAGGCAGAACTGCTTCTTCGGGTTTTCTAGGCTATAGTCTAGTAGCGTAGTGGTTAACGAATCAGGCTGCGAACCTTAAGGTCAGCAGTTCAAAACTACCAGCTGCTCTGAGGGAGAAAGATGAGACTTTCTGCTCCCGTAAAGATTTACAGCCTTGGAAACCCTGTACAGGGTCGCTATGGGTCGGAACCGACTTGACGACACTTAACAACAACAACTGTCTTTACGGGAGCGGATCACTAGGTCTTTTTGCATGGAGTTGATGGGTAGATTTGAACCAGCAACGTTTTGGTTAGTTGCTGAATGCTTAAATGTTGTACCACTAGGGATCCTAAAGACAGTTTAGAGATCTGGAAGTATATGAGCAATGGGGAAAAGCAAATATCTTCTCGCCAGCAGAGGCATAGAAACTTCTTAAACCTGGAAGGAGGGCAGTGTTTCTAATGCATTGCTCCAGTCTTTTCTTGCTCTTCACTGGAGAAGTTACTTTGTACCCTTGTCAGAAAAAGCATTGTGAGTTCCCATATTTGAAAACCCGAGAGGAGGCGCCAAAGCGGTTTTAGCCCCTGCCACCAACCACAGGTGTGGCTAGCAGCATTGGATTTCCAGTGAAGTGGGAGTTTGAAGAACGAGAGAAGAATGTGGGTTTATTAGGATTTGAGATTCTCGGCCAGTGGGGCAAACTGAACCCTAGAAAGTGTACTTCCTAATCTCCTAGAGGTGGTTATTCTTAAAGCACTTGGTTTCTACAACCCTTTATACAACAGATTTTCACTTTTGTTATTAAGTGTTGTTGAGTAATTTCTCAGGCTGTAAATCTCTGTGGGAGCAGAAAGCCTCATTTTTCTCCCAAGGAATGGCTGGTGAGCTCAAACCACAGACTTTGTGCTTATCCTATGGACCCACTGTGCTCCCCTTATATATCAAATCAAAGTCTGAACACGGGAACAGCAAGGCCAAACTCTTCATATCACCTGCCACCCTCCTTTGCCTTATTTCTGACTGTAATTCAAGAAAAATCAAACTTTTGTTTGTTGTTAACTGCCATCAAGTTAGTTTTGACCCATAGTGATCCTGTATAGGGCTTCTGAGGATTAGCTGGTAGGTCTGAACCCATGACCTTGCAGTTCAAACTGACCTTGCTATCCAGCACATTAACCTGCAGCGCCACACCAAAAGTACCTAAAATCCCGCTCTCGAGAGTTATCATTAGCATTTTGGTGAACATCCTTTCATACTTTATTTTCAACCCTTCATTACAACACTATAGTCTGCCAGGTGCAGGTATGAGTGTTTGAGAGAAAGCTTTTAAAAGATTGCTCATGGCTTATTTCCCTACAGGCCTTGCCTTTCCTTGTCCTAAAGGCAGTGTTTCTGTACGATGGGCCTGGAATGGTGGTGCAAACAGGTGTGAGTGTGTATGTGTGTGTGTGAATGAGGGAGTGAGCACACATTATACACCGTGGTTTTGGGCAAAACAAGACCCTTACTGTGGTTTCCCATTCCCCAGGCCTGGGCTGTGGAGACAGGAAAGTACCAAGAAGGGGTGGATGACCCTGACCCTGCTAAATGGAAGGCCCAGCTCCGCTGTGCACTCAACAAGAGCAGGGAGTTCAACCTGATGTATGATGGTACCAAGGAGGTGCCTATGAACCCAGTGAAGATATATCAAGTGTGTGACATCCCCCAGCCTCAGGGTTCGATCATTAACCCAGGTGAGGCCCCAGCTGCTGGGGAGAAGGTGGGCAGTATGCCAGGTCCTGGGATAGACTTTTAAAGAGATCGTTGCCCTTAAAAAGAGACTGCAGCCTGGCTAACCAAGTCTGAAACTGGTAAAGCAGGAAAGCCTTTCCCTCAGAAGGACCCAGAGAACAAAATGATGTGAACTCAGCAACATCTTGTTCACATTGGGGAATTATTTATTAGCTTGATTGCTTTAAGCATTAGAAAGAAAAGATTATAGAGTTGTACTGTAAAAACAGTCTCTCTCTCTTGGGACTGAGCACTGAGTGGAGAGAGAGGCTGGGTAGTTTGGAAGAGGAGAAATTAAAACTTGGAAGTTTTGAGTTCTAAAGCAGGTTCTTATCACATTGCTACTTGGGTAATAGATACTGTATTAAGTCACTTGACGTCTTGAGCCTGAGTTTGTTTTCACTTTTAAAAATGTGGGCTCTCATTTTTCCTACCTACTTCAAAGGCTATTGTCAAAATCAGTTGATAGAAAAAAGCTATTAAGTTCTTTGTAAGTGTTGTGTCATCTCATCATTTAATTTTTAGGATACTTTTGCTAAGTGAATATGACTTAATTCTCTTATATGTCCAGTGCTCAACAAGTATCAAGAGCCAGTTAACTTAGAATTATCTTCCAGTGAAGCCACTGAGACCCTGAAATGAGGACTCCTTCCTCACATGAAGCTTACAAGGGTGAAAGGTTGGCGACTTTAAGTCCTTAAAATGGTGGCTAATGTGTAGAAAGAGAAGGAATTAAGAGATTTCTAGAAAACAGTCGGGTATGTAGCTTCTGTCAGTGAGGGAAGGAGAGTTTACATTGTGGCTCTGTGGAGTGAGTTGGACCCAACCATTGATACACCAATTCATTTTATCTAGGGCATTGAGGGTTCACACTGAACTTGGGGAAGCTCTGTGCTAGCAGTTACTAACGTGTGTGGGTGGGGAGGAGGGTGGTCAGCTGCAGGAATGGCAGTGCACCTGGAGCTGCTCACCTGTAGCCTTGTGTCTTGGTTTCTTGGGAAGGATCCACAGGGTCTGCTCCCTGGGATGAGAAGGATAATGATGTAGATGAAGATGATGACGAAGATGAACTGGACCAATCGCAGCACCATGTTCCCATCCAGGACACCTTCCCCTTCCTGAACATTAATGGTGAGTGTGAGTGATAGTGGCAAGAGAGAAATAAGGATGATATAAGAGGCTTTCCCTTGGCACTGCTGATCCCTTGGTCACCACTGCACTGGGAGCAGTGGTCAGGCCCTGTGGCCTGGATGCTGGTCTCTTAGCAAGCAAGAATCACAAGCTTCATCTATTCAATTTGGCTGGTTCTGGGTTTAAAGTAAGTTTTCTAAATCTTATGTGATAATACAAGGAAATAAATCATTTCAGTTCACTTCCAATCCCAGTGACAAGTATATCAGCTCTTTTAAATGTTGCCTATAAGTATGACCTATTTCTTTTTGGGCATGTGCAGATGACATTTTCACGGGTGATAGGAAACTTTTTTCATTTGTTTCCCTTGGTATAAAATCTGAGTACACTCTACTTGGACTGCATCTTTTAGGAAATGATAGCTGTTAATTTTGGACTTTGATAGAATTTTTTTTTTTAAATGTTTTTATTTTGGATTGAGTGAAAGTTTACAGGGCACATCGTCAGCTTCACATTCAACCATTCATATAGCTTGTTTCATTACATTGATTATTATCCCCTCCATATATCATCAGTTAACAGTGTTTCTCTCTATCCTCTTTAGCTTTTTTTTTTTTGGATGGAGGGGGACTTGCCTTTTTGGAATTTACAGTCTCGGCTTTTAGGGAAGGTTTTTACATTTGTCTGTGGATATCCAGGGCTCATGTATGAGATTACTAACAAGCATTACTGAATAATCAGATGAGGGACAGTTTGCTATGTCTACTACGTAGCTAAAGTCTGATCCTCAGAGCCTATGGTTTGGACGGTCAACAACGCTTGGGCCCACAGGGGCTTGACCTCCTGACTGGGTCTGCACAATCTGCATCATATTCCTCCTTATTTATTGTTTGTTTAAGGGACGCTGCCTATCTTAGGCGGTCAGTGCGAATTCCTCAGTCTTACCAGAGACTTTGATAGAATTTACCTCTATTTTCCTTCATGAACTTTTTGATTCCAGCTTCCCAGGAAAAATGAGTTGCAAGGTTGGAAGGCCACTGTTGTAAGCAAGCTGGTCCTGATTCTCCCATTGTGCAATCTTGGGTATCCTGGAGCCCAAGTTGTCTTTCCCTTTTGCAGTTTCTTCACCTCAACTGTCCACAGAAATGCTCTGAGTCAAATAACACGCTGCATTGAGTTGAACAATTGTTTTTTTGCCCTTCTAGCACAATCTGGCTGCTATGGGTCAAATGAGATTCATGTGCCACCTAGTAAACCTAGCATATCAAAAGGATTTCTTTAGGATTTTAGGATGCTTTACTCAAGGTGATACACCAGCTTTAAGAACCAAGAAGTGACTCTTAACTGACACTCCATTTGCCTTCCTTTACTTATTCAGCCATTTATATCTTTGCAACCCAGTGCTGAATAAAGAAAAACTTCTTAGAGGTTTTTCAGGTTAATATTGCCACATGCTACATTCCCACTTGGTGTAATTTTAAGAGGTAGACATCTGTAAATCTGGGAACTTTTCCCAAACCTTTGACTAACACATTATTTTACTCTTACTCCCTGAAAAGGTAAATTCATTTCAAGGATCCTGATTTTCTATTTATGTTGTTGTTGTTGTTAGGTGTCATTGAGTTGGTGCCTACTCATAGCGACCCTATGCACAACAGAACAAAACACTGCCCGGTCCTGTGCCAACTTCACAATTGTTGCTACACCTGAGCCCATTGCTGCTGCCACTGTGCCAATCCAGATCATTGGTGGTCTTCTCTTCTTCTCCTACCCTCCACTTTACCAAATATGATATCCTTCTCCAGGGACTGGTCCCTCCTGACAAGATGCCCAAAGTATGAGAGATGAAGTCTGGCCATCCTGGCTTCCAGGGAGCATTTGGGCTGTACTTCTTCTAACACAGATCACTTTGTTCTTTTGATACTTCATGGTACTTTTAATATTCTTCAACACCAAACGTCAAATGCCTCAATTCTACGGTCTTATTCACCGTCCAACTTTTGCATGCTTATGATGCTATTGACAATACCATGGCTTGGATCCAGATGTACCTTAGTCCACAAACTGATATCTTTGCTCTTCAACACCTTAAATAGGCCTTGTGCAGTAGATTTGACCATTGCAATATGTTGTTTGATTTCTTGACTGCTGCTTCCTATTTATGGCCCTATATTATTAAAGTTGTTTGTGTCTTTCTGATCTGGATTGTCTTAAATCCTTTTTTGGAGAGATATGGGTCATGTCCACCTGTTAAAAATGAAAAGTTGAAATGAGTACATATATTTAACAGACTTATACATAGAGTCAAAGAAACTTTAACCTCTGTGATTTCAGAACTGTTGGGGCAGAGAAAAAAAAAGAGTTGTTGAAGGATAGATGCATAAGAAGTGAGGCTAGGAGCAGACTTTGGAAAGAACCAACTTTGATGATAACAGAGAAATAGGGTGAATTTTTTTTTTTTTTTTTAAGCATTGATTGCGTAATTTGGAATAAATAGCATTTTCACGTGGTTTAAAATTCATACTGGTCCAAAAAGTTAATTTCGTTCAAAAGGATTCCTTTCCATCCTGTCATTCTCAGTTCCTACCTTGAAGGAGACACATCATCTTTCTAGGTTCTTGAATACCCTAGAGATTTTTCATACATATACAAGTATTTGTTTATTCTTATACGTTAACATTACTCAAAGCTAGTCATATAATTGTTGAGTTCACTTTATGAGAGACAATAAGCTTCTATTTGACAGCTGTGATCACATTTTGCAATTGGGAACCACCACGCCCATTCTAATTTAGTCCCCAGGGATAACACACTTGCGATCTTCTCATTTTCAGTAAAAACAGGTTATTAGAACTATGTGTTTATGGGAGAACTAATAAGATTATTAGGGAAAGCAGAAGTAGAAGAACCTCATTTTTCATGGTGTTAGCTGTGGGAATGTTTAATGAGTTGGGAAATCACTGATGGCTCACAGTCTAGTGTTTGACTCTTGTCTGATCTTGTTAGTTCTTAGAGCATCAGGCCAGGTGATACGCATGTGTGGTGCCCCTGCCTGCTCACCCACATCCTTCTTTTCTAGGCTCTCCCATGGCACCAGCCAGCGTGGGCAATTGCAGTGTAGGTAACTGCAGTGTGGGCAACTGCAGCCCTGAAGCAGTGTGGCCTAAAACGGAACCTCTGGAGATGGAAGTACCCCAGGCACCTATACAGCCCTTCTATAGCTCTCCAGAGCTATGGATCAGCTCTCTCCCAAGTAAGTGAGCTCTGATCTTTCTTGCTGTGTCTTCAGTTCCTATGTGGACCATCTCCTATCCACCTTTTGTCTCCATTTCTCTGCCATGTATAGAACAGCTGCCTGCACCTGGTTCCTGATGAGCTACCAGGGGAGGGCTAAAGAAGCATTAGTTCATGCTTATTTGCCCTAGTAATACTCTAATTGGTGATAGTTCCTGGTTACTTACCTCCTAGGTGAGTGGGAAGCCTGGGTTTATCAATCTGGTTAGGAGACTTGGAGACAAGGCCAGTTATGGTATAAAGAAGTGAGTGGCTATGGATATGGGTAAGGAAGTTCTGGATTTGTGTGGGGGGGTGGTGTTTGTGACCCAGAGATAAAAATCTCTTTCTGATTTGGGCACAAGTGTATGAATCAGTCTCATTGTCCCAGTCTTCTTTTCACATAACGCATGGTTGGGGTGTTAGTATTAGGAATGGAAATTTTGTCCCAAAGACTAAGTAGCTTTGGTAAGACCTGTAGGGTTCAATAGAAACTTGCTAAGTGAATGTTTACTTTGTTGTGAACTGTCCTTTAATTGTTTATTTTAGACCAGGTTCACAGTGTGTGCATGTGTGTGTATTTTAAGGAAGATAAATGTGTATTTCTTTCTGTTGCTCTGATTTCTTTAAAGAGTGAGTCAAAAATGAAACACAGACAAGATCTTACTTTTGATGGCTCCTTCCATTAATGTGAAGATGAAGACCGACTAGTCTTAAGTGAGAAGACCAAGACCATCTCTTTGCTTGGTGAAGTTCTAGCCTTAGAGTGTAACAACTGCACAGAAATAGCATAGATAGACCTTAAACTGTTTGTTTCAAAGCAGGCTTTTGAGCGACTGTCCTGGGGATACTTTGTCGTCTCCTTTTATTGCAAGAAGGGCAGTGGCTTCCCTGAGAGTTGGTTGAAAGGTAGCTGGATCTTGATGAACTTGCATGAGCCTTAGGGATAAACAACAGACCAGTAGAGTGAGACTCTCATGGTCCTCTCTTACCTTGCAGTGACTGACCTGGACATCAAGTTTCAGTACCGGGGGAAGGAGTATGGGCAGACCATGACTGTGAGCAACCCTCAGGGCTGCCGGCTTTTCTATGGGGACCTGGGCCCCATGCCTGACCAGGAAGAGCTCTTTGGTCCCGTCAGCCTGGAACAGGTCAAATTCCCAGGACCAGAGCATATTACCAATGAGAAGCAGAAGCTTTTCACTAGCAAGCTACTGGATGTCATGGACAGAGGACTGATCCTGGAGGTCAGCGGTCATGCCATATATGCTATCAGGCTGTGCCAGTGCAAGGTGTACTGGTCTGGGCCATGTGCTCCATCGCTTGTTGCTCCCAACCTGATTGAAAGACAAAAGAAGGTCAAGCTATTTTGCCTGGAAACATTCCTTAGCGGTGAGTCTCTTCAGCAGGTCCATGATGTGAACTGCACCTTCCTCCTTCCATCCCTTCCTTTCTCAAGAACCCAGCTTCCCCTTTACTCCCATTCCCTGACTTTGCAAAGGTCTTAGTTTAAAAAAACAAATCATTCTGGAGGAAATGAAGAGAAGAGCACCTTGACTCTGAAAAATGTGACTTAGGCACTGAAGAAAGGAATTGTACTGCAAAGCTAGGTCCCTGAACGCTATTTTTAAGTTGGCTTTGGCAGAAGAGAAAGGCAGCCTTGCCATCACCCTGCAACTATAACCAGCTTTTCCTAAACTTTTGAAGTTGACCCTGTTTGTCATATTCAGTGAATCATATATTCTTTGGGGAAATATCTGAGTGGTGAATTCAAGCAGAGTTTTAGAGCAGTGAATGTGGATTTTTCCAGATGGCTTGGACCCCAAAGTGGTTTAGATCAGTGATGTCCAATAGAAATAACCTTCTGTGAGTAATGATTGTGTAACTTTTATTTTAATTAATTTAAATAGCCACATATGACTAGTGGCTACCACACTGAACAGCATAAAAGATAGCTGTGGAGTGACTCTGTACATCCAACTTGCTTTCCCACCTTCTGCAGATCTTATTGCCCACCAGAAAGGACAGATAGAGAAGCAACCACCTTTTGAGATCTACTTATGCTTTGGGGAAGAATGGCCAGATGGGAAACCCTTGGAAAGAAAACTCATCTTGGTTCAGGTGAGGAGATAATTTTGCCAATGCTTTAGCCCCTGGGTCTGGGATTGAGCCCTGAGTTAGGTATTAATTCTATTCGATGGTGGTAGCTGACTTGCGCTTTGAATAGGGAGACCAAGCTGGAAAATGCAAAAGTATTCAAAATGAGTGACTGATTTAGTGGACAGCATATCTTTCATCCTCTTACTGACATTTGAGTCATGCTGAGACCTAACTGGACACGGCCCTTCCCAGTTTTTCTTGGTGAATTCCTTCTCTCCATTTGAAACCTTTTTTATATATTGATAAAATGCATATAACAAAACATTTGCCATTTAAGCACAATTTACATTGCACAATTCAGTGACATTACACTCACCATGTTGTGTAACCATCACCACTTTCCATTAAACACTGGACTGCTAATCAAAAGGTCATCAGTTCAAGCCCATCAGCTGCTCTGAGGGAGAAAAATGAGGATTTCTGCTCCTATAAAGATTTACAGCCTTGGAAATCTATACGCAGCCTCTATGCAGGGTTGTTATGAATCAGAATCGACTTGATGGCAGAAACTCAGGAGTCCTGGTGGTGCGATGGTTAAGTGCTTACTGCACATAGAAAGGTTGGTGGTTCAAACTCACCCAGTGACAGGAGAAAGTCCTGGCAGTCTGTTCCCATAAAGATTACAGCTTAGAAAGTGCTATGGGGTGGTTCTACTCTGTCAATATGGGGTTGCGATGAGTTGGAATCTACTTGATGGCACATAGCAACAATAACAAAACAGAAACTTGGTGCCCCTTAGGTAGTAGCTCCTTAATTTCCTCCTCCCCTGATAAGAAAAATCTTTTTGAGTTGCTTTTAGAAATGTAACCTTACTCTGACAAGTAGTATAAAGGCCACTTTGACTCCCCCTGCCCCCCTAGAGTTGTGTGATGAGGCAGCTAATAGATTAAGTTTTGTTAAAAGGCAAGTCTTGCTATTTAGGCATGTGATGTAATGCTACATCTAGATTGTTTACCTTATTTGGATCCATTCTAGAATGAACCTTGGCAGGACGGTCAGAGTTGAAGGTGTCATTAGAGTGGGAGGCTTCTGGACTTCCAGAGACTCAGTCATTGGTCCTTCCTTTAATCTTTAGGCTCTCCCGTTGCTTAAAAAAAACTCTTTTCTCAACGGATACCTGTGTGCTCTGTTTCCTTGGCAGGTTGTTCCGGTGGTGGCTCGGATGATCTATGAGATGTTTTCTGGTGATTTCACACGATCTTTTGACAGTGGCAGTGTCCGCCTGCAAATCTCAACTCCAGACATCAAAGACAACATTGTTGCTCAGCTGAAGCAGCTGTACCGCATCCTGCAAACCCAGGAAAGCTGGCAGCCCATGCAATCCACCCCAAGCATGCAGCTCCCCACTGCCCTGTCAGCTCAGTGACCATGAATACCATCTTTTCTTTTTTAAAAAATATTGTATATATGGATGTTTTTTATTATTCAGATTTGACCAGCTTTTAAATCCCTCCTCTCTAATACTATTAGTAGTCTGTGACTCATTCAAAATGTGCCTAGTTTAAAAAAAAAAAAAAAAAGAGAGAGATGTAATTTATGGAAAAATCACCCTTCAGACTTTCTTCTTTTTCAAACCTGCTGATGGTAGTATAACGTGGTAGAGGGAGATCTGGTCTGGGAGTTGGATACAGGGTTTTAACTGCAGCTTTGTTTTCCATACTGTGACCTTGAATGAGTTATTTAACCTTTGTCTTCAGTTTCATCACTTGTAAAGTGCAGGGGTTGGAATGATGCCAGAAATTACATCCAACTTTATAAAACTCGGATTTGGTGATGTCATTCTACTTCTACAAGGCATAACTGCCTGGAACAGAACTCTTCTGCATTGTTCTTTTACCACATACCCCCCCCCCCCCCCCCCCCGCTTCCATTAAAGTTCCCTCATGCACTGATTTGTCCATGATTGAGCTCTGTTTGACCTGTTCTGCTAGTATAGTACACTGGCTCCCCAATGGGGCAAGTGAGAGAGGGAGGGAAACCCATGGGTTGCTTAGGAACCCAGCTTGACATCTAAATAGAACTGGGTGCCAGAGTCTGAAAGTCACCCTGCCTGTGGAGTAAAAGCTCATAAATTGAGCCTATAAAGGAAAGCTGTCAACAGTCCCTAGGTAAACTAGGGGTTCTATAGGTTGTCCAGTGTTTCCCTGACCACCTCTCAAATACCACTGTGTGTGCCGAAGATGAAAGTATATGACTTGAGTGGTGGCCTTCAGAGAAGGTAGTTCTCCCTTTTGTATTATCTTCTCTGAGGAAAAGATTGAGTGAGCACGCATGTGGAATACGATTCTTTGGCTACAGAAGTACTGCTCCTCCTTGTTTGGAGACTTCTACACAGTCTGAATATCCTTTTGATTTTTTGCAGTTAGGAAAGATAGGGGTGTATTAAAGCCAGGCTGAAGGAAGGCTGGGCAGGGATCTTCTGGAAAAGCCTCAACTAGCACAAACCTGCTTTTCTCCCTGCCTGGTGAAGGTAGCTGGGTGTGAATTGAGGCAAGTGGTGTAGAACATTGCAGCTGTGTCTGCCACAAACTGGTCTTATTTAGTAATCTTTTCTCATCTGTAACCAATATACCACCCCCGCCTCCCCCCCCCCACCTTTCTCTTTTTGGAGAAGAAAATATATATAATTTAAACTTAATTGGAAAGCAATATGCTAATTCTAGGTACAGACCCCATTCTTTTGAATGCCTGCATGTGCCAGCTCATAGTAAGGAAGCCCAGGTTTTGTTTGCTGCCCCTAAACCACGTCACCGAATGACAGGCATTAGACTCGCTTTCAAATACAAAGCTCAATCCAATCAAAGTTGGCAGGGGGACTTATTTATTCAGAATGTTTAACTGAGCATTGGTTTTAGGATCTTGAAGGGACCTAGTGGTATCTACTGTTTCATGACCAAGAGAAATCTGGGTAAAGGTCACATGCCCAACTGTGAGAACAAGTTGGGCTTCTCCAGATAAGGAAGCCTATAAGACACAGAACTTTACATTTTTCAGTCATTTGGTTGAGTAGCTGAAATGAGGAATTTGATCTTGAAGTTAAGCTGCCTCTGTCTGTATCTAGGTCAGTCAAAGTTGAAAAAAACAACCCACAGTAGGTAAATTAGGAAAGCAGGTATTTGAACCTGGATTGGTCTTTTCCCTCTGGTAGTCAAGACAGTCCATCTGGATAGGAGCTCACAGAAAGTGAGCTAATAAAGAATGTTGAAACATGGGGCACTATGGAAAATTTAAGAAAGCACCAGAGGGTTGGATGAGTGGTTTTATGCCGCCTTAACTAGATTCCCTGGTTTTCTTGTTCAGGATCCTTTATGGAATATTGCACAAGTGCATACAGGGCTCTCTACTCATCTCCCATGGTGCTCTTTCTCAGGTCTTAATGGATAGACACCATGTTTCCTTTTTTAGAAACTCCATCTGTCTTCTTGCCCTCCCCTTGCTTGAGTTTGAGGACTAAGATGATATACCCCAGCTCTTGTCCACCTCACCAAATTAGATTACACCTCCTGTTCTATGCTCTCATACTCCCCTTCAGAAAAATCAATTCCCTTGCCACTGGTCATTGTCCAGCACCTGCTGTACTACACACTTGCTGAAGATAGTGATTACTTCTTTTGGACTTTGCTGCCAGCATCTTGCATAGCATCTGGGACACTATATGCTCTCAAGTATTTGTTGCTGAAATAAATAAGTCATTTTGGTTTTTTTTTGGGTTTTTTTTTTGCTTTGTTTTTGTTAAGCACAGTGAAAATATCAATGAATAAATATGGAAGAAAGTATTTCCACAATTAGAGGACTAGATTTTAGTCTTAGCTATCTATCACTGAGACAAGAATTAAAGATTGGGAGCCCCTTCAAGCTGACCCTCCTTCCAGGCTGGCCCCACCTTTAGTCCACAGTAACCAATTTTTACAGCCTAAAGCCATTTAAAGTGTTAAAGAACAAAGATGTCAGCTTGAGGAATAAAGGTGCACCTGACCCAAGCCATAGTATTTTCAATAATCTCATATACATGCAAAAGCTGGACAATGAATAAGGAAGAATGTAGAAGAATTGATGCTTTTGAGTTATGGTGTTGGAGGAGAATATTGAAAGTGCCATGGGCTGCCAAAAGAACAAACAGATATGTGTTGGGAGAAGTGCAGCCAGAGTGCTCCTTGGAGGCCAGGATGGCCAAACTTTATTTCTCATACTTCAGACATATTGTGAGGAGTGACCAGTCACTGGAGAAAGATACCATGTTTGGTAGGTGGAGGGTCAGAGAAGAAGAGGAAGACCCTCAGCGAGATGGGTTGGCAAAGTGGCAGCATCAATGGACTCAAGCGTGGCAATAATAGTGAGGTTGGCCCAGGATCGGGCAGTGTTTTGTTCTGTTGTACATAAGGTCGCTATGAGTTGGCACTGACTCGATGGCACCTAGCAACAACAAAGTTATCCAGGTAAAGCCATAGGTGCATACTCTGCTCAAATGGGCATTTTTCTGGGGTAAGATCTCAGCATATTTACAATTCCTAAGCTTCTGCTATGACTATGTATAAATAAATGTGGGCCATTTCCTCAGAACTGTTCTCAAGAAACTCTTCATAGTGTGAGTCAGATTGCTGGTA